GTTGTCCTCACCTACCATGCCACCAGCATCCGCATTCAAAATACCATTAGCTGCCATTTCCATCACCTCCAGCAGGATGCCACCACCAGACACATATTCCTCTCCCCTCTCTTGTCAGCCTTCCACAAGGACTGTTCTCTCCAGGACACCCTGGTCCACTCCTCCTTCACTCTCAAAGCCCCCACACAGCTCCATGGCACCTTCCCCTGCATCCACAGAATGTGTAACACCTGCCCATTTACTTCCTCTTTCCTCAGTATCCAAGGCCCTAAACACACCTTCCAGATGAAGTAATGCTTTACTTGCATTTCACTCAATCTAGTCTACTGCATTCGCTGCTCAAAATTTGGCCTCCTCTACATTGGGGAAACGAAGCATAGACTGGGTGGCTGCTTCACAGAGCATCTACATTCTATTTGCAAAAAGACCCCGAGCTTCCAGTTACCTGCTACTTCAACACACCACCCTGTTCCCTGGCCAACATCTCAGTCTCAGGCTTGCTGCAGCAAAGGTCCGTGTAAGCTGGAAGAACAGCACCTCATTTTCCACTTGACAACTCTACAGCTTTCTGGGCTCAATATTGAGTTCAATAATTTGAAGGCATAAGGCGCCTTCTCCCATGTCCTTACCCCAACCTCATACACCAGGCCTTGTTATCACATGCATGCTATTACACATAACCTATTGTTAGCCACTTACAGCCCCCATTAGCAGCTATTTATTCTCCTAGGCTGACTGTTTTCAACTCCTTTGTCTGTCCAACTACTCTTCTTTCTCTTTGGTCTCTACCTCCACCCATCATTTACTCCTTACCCCCTTCCTCCTCACCCTATCTTGTGCGTAAAAACCGAACTTTTCCTAGCTTCCATCAGTTCTGAAGAAGGGTCACTGGACCCAAAACGTTAACTCTGATTTCTCAACATAGATGCTGCCAGACCTGCTGAGCTTTTCCAGCAATTTATGTTTTTGTGTCTGATATCCAGCGCCCGCAGTTCTTTTGGTTTTTCACAGGATGTGTTGTTTAATACAGTCTATAGACCACTGGGACGTATAGCTCAAATACATGGTAACACACCCAGTCCTGGAACTCATGCTCTTGGTATTAAGTTTCTCTAAACCATGTGAGTTTTTACTTCAAGATAAAGGCAGCAATTGAATAAACCAGACATGCATTACAAGCATATATGATAGCCCAATTGTGGATGGAATCCTCATATAGCAAAAATTAACAAGTTGTAGTGTCAATAGTTATGTTAATTTTATCCTTTTAAAATTCCCTAATTTCCTTTCCCACCTTAAAATGCATTATTTTCTTATTCAAAACCTTTGTTTTTCGCTGTGCATTGGCATTATTGCTACTGTCATAGAAATCAGAGAAATGAAGATCATAGAAATATAGCTTTCAATCATCTTGAAAATTACAGTTTGTGGATTTACACAAAATCATTGACAGAAATATGTTACATTTAATACAGATGCAGTTCCTTTTCTGTTTGTACTGTATAGATCAAACTTTGAAATTAGTTTTCATTCTAAGTGTACAGCTTTAATTATCAAAATGATATCCACTCTGTTTTCGCACATTTCTGGTAGTGTAGAATGGCATCTTCTGGAATGAATTTGCGTGGATGCTAGAAGCATGCACCATAAGTAAACAAATTGTGATGCCAATCAGCATTGGGGCTGATTTTAAGCTTCCACTTTAGGCCTTGCTGCTCTAATATATACACAGCTGAACTTGAAGTGAAATGCATCCTTCCCCACCACTGCCAGTGGCAATGAATGTACAGGCAGTGTGCAACCAGTTTCTACACATCATCCTCATGAAGCTTCTTCTATCCTGCAAGCACTCTGCTGTCCACTGCATCAAACCAGAGAATGCCTCCTTAATGCTCAGGGCTGCCTGTTCCACACCTAGCTCATGAAACCCTGCTGCAGCCCAACCACATGTGGTCAACTTATGTGAGCCATGCTGCCATGGGAAACATCATTGAACAGGCAGCTGAGTTGCTGAAGCGAAGGTTCCACTTGTCTCCACTGATCCAAAGGTGCCCTCCGATATTTACCAGTGGAGTTATCCCAATTTGTGGTGGTTTCCTACATCATCCATGACCAGGCCATCATGAGGGCACAACCTTTGCCTTTATGGATTTGGTGACCACCTCAGAGGCACAGGTAATGATTGAGATGCAGGAAGAAGGGAGAAATCAGTTAGCACATCCACATCCTGGAGTGCTGTCTATAGTACATACAATTCCATTGCAGTTCAAATGAATTCAATCTCAGGTTTTGATGATCAAAGGTCCCACAGTGTAACATCCCATAAGTTATTGTTATCACACCATGTGTGTAGCCATTTTCCAGAAATAGAAGCCACCTTTCAATCATCTTCCTTTTATAAATTATCTGGTGTGTTTCAACATTACAAATCTGGTTGCACTTCAAAAAGTATAGAAGCTCGAACACACGCACCAACAGTTTCGAGAACAGCTTCTCTGCTGTTATCAGATTGTTGATCTTGCTAATGTTGAACTTGCTTTTTTGCACCTCCTGTGCAATGGTAACTTTGTATGCCTCACACTGTTCTGTGTGTCCTTGTTTGCTATAATCTGCCTGTACTGCTTGTAAAATACAACTTTTCACTGTACTTAGGTACATGTGGCACAATAAATCAAATCAAATCACATCAAAAAAAGTACCTATTTCCTGGTAAAGTGCTTTGAGACATCTGGTGGATGTGAAATGTGCCATGTAAATGCAGATCTTTCTTTTCATTTGGTTTACATTTCCCCAACTTTGATATTAGAATTAAGTACTTTCATAATATCCAGGTATAGTTTTGGAAGTACATATAAACTTGGCATTTCCTAATCAATGCTTCATGATATGTATACATTGTATTAAATACTTCAATTGCATTTACAAAATGGCATATACAACTACAACTTTCAGTTTCTGAGTTGCTTCATTCTTAGTCATCAGTCTTTCTTCTCTCCTTCAGGAGAAGTTAACACAGCACAGAATATTAATCATTGCAAACCTGTCATTTGCAACAAAACTACTTTGAAAATCATACATTGGGAAGTTATTATCTAGAGAACCAAAGTAAATAGTTTCATGTAATAAAAGTTGCACCGTAGCTTTTTGCATATCTGCATGACAGGTTTCCTAATTCCCAACTCTGTTGCACACAGACATGCTCCACAGGAAATGCTTATGGAAATAATAGGGCCACAAATGTCCTTATTGTGACATACTGCTTTGGAAAATTTGATGTTGCATTTACACCTCACTGAGCACAAGAAGCATTTGATCCTGTTGCATAAATGACTTTCATATCTGAAATGAATTCAGCCCATATACAGTGCAACTGTTGGCCCAAATTTTGTGTTAGTAGTAACCAGAAAACTGTCAGCATTTACCATTGCTAATTTATGAAACTAACAGCAATTTACAGCAAATGTACATTTCATCATGAAAATTGATTGATAGCAGAGATTCCCTGCTGCCCAACAGGGTGCACTGTTTAAGACCTGAGTGTTGGAAATCACTTTAAAATTGCAGAATTGACACAAGCTTCCACTTCCTTTGTTCTTTCTCACAGTTAAAACCCTTAAAGATTGCACCATATTTAGTGGAATATAACTATGTTCTTAATGCTAAACTAAGTTACAATTCTCCACTTTCCATTCACTTCCATCTGTAGAGCTATAAAATAGCTTTTCTTTTAAAATTGTTTGCATTTCAGCTGCCACCTTAGTGAGATTAGCTCAACCTTCAGTTTTATATTTATATTTTATATTCAATTATAAAGTACTATAACAATAATGATGAACCCTGTTAGTTCATTCTTAGTTTGGTATCAAAGGGAATTCTTAAGTTTAGTTGGTTGTTTAGACTGCTGGTTGGCATCACTGTTGCTGGATTCCTTAATCACTGTCTTTGAATCCTTTTATAGATGGCAATAGCATTACATTAACAGAAATAAGGGTGTAGTCAATGCCACAAAGCTAGTTAGATCTTTACAGGCAGCTTTCTTTAGGGTCAACAAAGTGTGTGGTTACTTCACCACTGAGCGGCAAAATCTGGGCTATTGTACTGCGATGGTAATTAATTTTATTTAGGAGGCTTTTGATAAATAGGTATTTTTATTACTAAACTTCTTTTGTCCCTGGCTGTATTTCAAAAAGCATTATCAGTAAAACTATAGAGTCTACAAATAACAAATGATATCAATCATACTAAACAGTAGTTCCTACTGCAATGTTTGAGATACCATGATGAATTGCATACTCCTATGTCTGAGAAACAAAGGCAACAAACTCTCACAAGTTGTTGGTGATTTTCAGGAATGAGTACTGCTGAATAATAGGGAGAGTGACAGGACATTTTAGCAATCAATCATCATGCCGGAAAAGTACAGGAACACAAGGAATCATAGACCAAGAACTAGTGTTAGTATTAATGTTATTCTCACTCATTTGTGTATGTGGTGCCTTGCAGTGTGGTAGGAGATATTTAAGTTATGCATAGATTCTGTCTTATTGGTTCAGAGTCCCATTGCATTTCTAATTTCCTGTTACGTAGCATGGAGATGTCCTAGACAGAAAGCACACCAGGAATATGCCACAGTGCATTTTCTAACAGTGTAAATATTTGCTTACTATGTAGAAATATTACTTTCTTGAGTTTTATCATTAAAATTACGAACCTTTCAAGAAGATTTGGAAGCATTCATTATTAAGATTGAGTGGAGTGTTAGTGAAAAACAATAATAGGAGAGTGGACTATCCTTTGTGCAACTGTAAATGTTAGCATTTATTATTCTGTTGTCGTATTGTGTCTTTCATGTATGTCATGGGTAGTAGCTATGGTAATGTAATCAGTAGTAAATTGGTCTATATGTGTTTTTGAAATTATTTTTCTGGAAACGAATGAATGTCAAAGACTGTGCCCTAATTCCATAATTGTCTTTTGCCTTTCTTGTCTCCCTTGTGCAGGGGAAGTCACTTACTTCGAAAAGGCTGACGAGTCTGGTGCAGTCTTACTGATATATTCTCTTCAGCTGATGAGCGGGCCAGTTCAATCGTTCAAAGCTATAAATCACTATTTACCCTGAACCCAGAGGACATTGTACCATTCTTTGCATGAATGAGGATCTGAGTGAGTGAGTGAGTGAGTGAGTGTGTGTGTGTGTGTATGTGTGTGTGTAAAAAGACATTGCAAACATGAATGGAGAAGATGGGGAAGGAGGATTGTTCCATATATGTTTATGCTTACTTCATCAATCAGACTGATGAATCTTCCACTAATAAGTTAATATTCATCACAAAAATTGAAACTGTAGCTCAGATCATCAAGTGGTTATGACTGAAATATTAGAAAGATTTAATGTGTAGATATAATGAAATGACCCACAATCCATTATTAAGTTGGGCCACAGGAGCCCACAAACACAGAAAGGTTCCATACAAGGGGTTATTAGTGTATCCTTGTCAGACCTATTCTGTGCTTCCACTTTAGTGTTCTTAATGTTTTATTTTTATACAATGTTGAAGTCAGTATTTATTCCAAATTTATTAAAACCTTTCTGTTTCTCTTTATTTTCTAAGTTGATTTATTTTGACTTTTTTTTATACTATAGGTTATTCACCACATGTCACGGTCTGATATTTCACAGAAACGAACCATTGTTTTAACTAAATTAATGAAGTTTCACTTCTTAAAATTGAAAGCCAATACATGATATTTCAATCAAATGGCTAGTCAGTTTTGCTCTAATGATATATAAAAATAGCTTGGCGTCCTAGATATTTTGTAAATGACAGTTTTATTTCTCTATATCTAAGTGAGGCAAAATAAAATTGATGTAATGAGTTTAATGCAGCTCAGATTTTTATTTGTTTTTCTTGTATAGGAAAATTTAAGTGTGTTGCAGATGATATTGATAAGAAATTATACTTTTTAAAATAGAGTTGTGACAATCATTGGGAATGGTTCTTGAACGAATGTTAGCTTTTTGAAAGAATTGTACTTTCACATTTACTTCCAAATTCCACATTCTAATGGGAAGAATTGTCCATGATCAGCTCAAGACAATCTAGGATGGAAACCTAGACTGTTCCTACTGTTCAAGGAAAATGGCATCAGTGACCTCCAGAACTTCTTTTATAGGCAATGGTTACATTGTTTCTTAAAATAAACAAGTTTTTAAGCTTGAAAGGCAATTTTTCCCACTACTAATTGATCCTCCATTGCTATCCCATCTTAGATATCATCTGGCTTCCAAACAGAGAGAGCAAAAAGTGAAGAATATCCCACCATTTTTATGCAGCCGACAACAAAAGTAACTCTCTAACACAAATGTCTGAACTTTCAATGAACACCTCCAGCTCTACAATAAATTGAAGATGCTTCCATAAGTTACTAATAAAGGATTAGAAATCCCGACATTGACATAAAACAAGAGATGCTAAATGTACCTGATTTTTTCAGAGAAAGTAGGTTTTTTACCCCCAGGTGAAAAAGATTTTGAGCCATTTAAGTAACACAAGTGAACTTTTTAATACGAACCAGCAACTGGCATAAAGAGATAAGTGAGCCTGATACATTTCAGTTGGTGGGAAGCGAGAGGATAATAAGTGGAGAGAAGAGCTCCTGAAATAAATCTTTGTTTAAGATACAAATCATACAAAGACAATAATGACCCTCCAAACTCCAATGTTAGACCTTGAGCATAGGAAGTTCATAACCAGTCAAAGCAAGAGCAGGATCACAGTGGGAGGTGTGGAGGGAGATAGACTCATGCATAAGGAAAAGAATACTAAGTGGAACTAAAGTGAGCAGGAAAGGTAATATGCCAACATAGTCCACCATACAAGTTAGGGGTTACCTTATCTTCATAGCCTCTGTGAGTCTTAATCTGATTTTACATGGATCAGGAAATTAGCTGCCTCAAATTGGGGTTTCCAAACACTTTATAAAAAGTTGGGGAGGGGATGTGGAGAGGTCATTCCACAGGATGGCCCTTGCAGCCATGGGGTTACCCCAGGGTAAAAGGATGTCAGGCAAGGAAAACCCACAAGAAGGTCTCTCCTTAGTGGTCTTCCCACTTGGCAGGCAGTCTAACATCAATGGTAAAATACTAGTGGTGTCAGGAAAAGGCCCTTAAGTGTTCCTTAAATGACATCTTCTAAGCTGCACAGCCAGTACAGGACAATTTCAGCCTGTCATCATACAGCAACTCCCTCATCCCTGGAACCAGTCTCACAAAGCTGCATTGTAACACCTCCACTGTAACTATTTCCTTCATTGGGCATGAAGAAAGAAAACTGCACATAATACTCCTGGAGTGGTAACAACATAGCCAAACACAACTGCAGAAAGGTTTCTTTGTTCTTGTACTGCAATTCCCTTGGAGTGAAGGCTAATTTGCCAGTTGCCTTCCTAAATGCTTGCTGTAGTCCTTGTCTGTATCCACTCCAAATCTCTCTGAACATCAACATATGAAAGTTTCATCCCATTTGAAAAGAATATTCTGCATTCCTATTCTTCCTACCTCACATGTAGTTACATTATTGTCCAATTGCCACCTTGCTACCACTCACTCAACTTGTGGATATATCTTGGCTTGCTCTTTGTGTCCTAATCTCAGTCTATATTCCCACCTACATTTGTATTACCAACAAACTTTAATACATTGCTCTTCATCTCCTTGTCTAAACTTTAATATAAACTGTATATAGCTGAGGTCCCAGCACAAATCCTTGCAGCACTACACTAGCCTATATATCATTGTACATTAACCAATTTGCGATCCATTGTCAATAAATTACCTCCAACTGCATTAATCCTTAACTTGCATTTTAATCATGCAATATGATATTGAATGCATTGTGGCAATTTCAGACATACTACACCCATTATCCTTAGAAGTAACAATCAAAAAACTCAAACTAATTTGATAAACAAGGTCCCTTTTATGCTACTGTGTTGACTCTGTCTGATCATCCAATAATTTTCTAAGTGCTTTGCTAAAACTGACTTAATAATGGATTCCAGCATTTTCCCAACAACTAATGGCAGGCTGACAGAACTGTTTTTATGTTTCCATCCTTTCTTCAATAACAGTGTTACTTTTGCCTTTTAAGTATTACAATCATTCTAGAATCTGAAGAATTTTGGAAAATCATAATCAGTGTTTGCTTTATCTAATCAGCTCCTGTTTTTACTAGCCTTGGATATAGGCTCTGGGTCCTGGGAATTTCTCAACTTTTAGTTCCTTAGGCTTCTTTAATAGTGTTTTCTCTGCTGATATTTATTACTGTTGGTTCCTCATTTTTATTATCCCCTTGATTCCCTTCTGTTTCTGGTTTCAAATTTACATCTACTGTGAAGGCAAGCATAAAATATTTGTTCAACCCTCTTATGTTAACTATTTTTTTCCCAGTGGATCTTTTAAATGAGATTCCTGATTAACTCTGCTCCATTGTACAATACCACTAAATTATTTTTTTTCCTCTGGTTGTTTCTCTCATTTATTGTTTCTGGAAACTTTCTTTAAAGCATTCTAGAAATCCATACTTTTTGGAACTTTGCCAATTGATTTTTTTTTTCACTGGTCAGCATCCCACTTCCAAAGTTACCCACATCGTAGCACAGAAATTCCACAGAAATTCACAACTACTGCACCAGCCTATTTTCATATTCCAATGCACGCAATGATGCTCTAGATTCCCTTAAAATTGCAATGTAATGCTAGTGTTTTTATTGTTATATCAATAAACAGTACCTTATACCTTTGCCTATAGCTTTAAATAGAACTGAAAAATTATAGCAGCACTAAATTCACAGTGTATTTTTTTTATCATTTGTTTTTCATTTATATTTTTGTTCTCTATTTTTCATTTTTTTTTTCTTGATTTGCTAAACATTTTTTTCAACGCCATTATCTTATTGTCTTTTTGCAGCAACTGTTCCATATCATTAAAATAGTTTGATTGGCTAACATCAGTTTAAAAAACATGCGTTTTGTTTCAGCCAGATAAGAAATGAATTACTGAATGAATCAGAATTAAAGGTCAAAATTAGTAAGATACAAGTTTGCAACCAACCTGTTCATTTCAAGAAAGTCAAATGCATTGGACAAGATTACTCATCCAATTGAAAAAGCAGGACGGGACAAAGCCATTGATTTTGCTAGCAGTGCTGGTCTGATATTAGAGGGTTATTTTATTTTTTCATGACACATGAGGTGGTACTGGGAAGGCCAATTGCTCATCTCTAACCTTGCAAAGGTGGTGGTAAGTTGCCTTCTTGAATTGTTGCATTCCGTCTGATATAAATGTAATGACAATGCTATTAGGAACGGACTTGAGTCAGTGACAGTGAATGAAGGCGACAAAGTTCCGAGTAAAGATGGAATGTGATTTGGAGAGGAATTTGCAGGAGCTGTATTCATCCAGGGAAGTAGACAGTATGCCACCACACTGATTTCTGGCTTCCAGGTGGTGGACATACTTTAGGGGGACAAGAGATGGCTTACTTCTGAGCCTCTGACTTGCTGTTGTTGCCACTATTGATTTAGTTGCTTCTGGTGAATGTTGATGAAAAGAAATTCACAGATAATAATGCATTTGATTGTCAGAGCAAATGATTAGATTCTGTCTTGTGATGGTGATGGTCACGGCTGGCACTTGTGTGATACAGATTTTACTTTCCAGTTAATCAATTCAAGTTGTCTAGGCCTTGATGGAATAGGCATAAACTGCTTCAGTACCCAAGGATGCTGAAAGTTGTGCATTCAACAGCAAACATCCCTCTATCAGCTGCTTCATCAATGGGCCTAGGGCACTATCCTGCAGAGATATCCTGAGGCTGACATTATTGACCTCCAGGACCACCAACCACTGGAGAGTTTTCTGCCAGTCAACATTGACTCTAGTTTTACTAGGGCTCCTTAGTGCCAGTTTAGGTCAAATGTTGCCTTGACGGCAAGGGCAATTGCTCTGGTAACACTTCTTGTGTTCAGACATTTGGTCCAAAGTGGTAGTGAGGCCAAGAGTCAAGTGACCCTGTATAAAAGAAACAGAGCATCAGTAAGCAGGTTACTGCTGTGCAAGTACTGCTTGATAGTACGGTCTCCGACACCTTCCCCATCACTTTGCTCATGATCAAGAGCAGTCTGATGGCATGATAATTGGCCAGACTGGATTTGTTCTCTTTTGAAGACTGGAAAAAAA